GAATGATAGGTAAGATCATGTACCCAAAGAACATTAAACGTAGATGTAAGGCTCAGCACAGTCATTTCCTAAAACCAGCCAAGCAATATTGTCCTGACAGGAAGAAACGTACTAGCCTATATATAAATTATTAGCAAACAGTCTTGTTCCAGGTCTTCATTGTACTTGTACTGTAAACAAAGATTCATATACTACAGAAATGAAGAAAGATTACAGACTGAATTCACCTACCCGTGACAACATAATGCTAGGTATCACCCCAGTATTACCCTTAGGAGACAACAGTCTATATAAAAAATTAAAAAGCTGAAAAAGTCTAGTTTTAAAGATTATATTGTTAAATTGAGATTATTTAATACTTCCACATAAGGTGGTGCACACGCACGCGTGTGTGTATATGTATAATCAATGAATGCGTTATGCAAATATACACACACACAGAGATATAGTCAGAGTTCACTATCAACTAACAGATGAAAGCCGGAAGGCCAAGCTTGCATCCCAGCATTTTTGGCAGGGATTTCAGGGACTGGGTTCTAATACTTAAATTGATTGCATATCAGCACTTCTGTATGAAGCTACTTGGATCTTATGTTAAGGATTTATTCTATTATGCAAAAAATATGCATTCTTAATACTTAAGTTTCCAAGCTCAGTAGTTGTTTTTACACCCTACAAATGGCTTTCTCAGTACTTCTCTTAATGACCAGTATATACTTGAGCAATGGCAGCAGCACTGACTCACAGCACACAGTATGGTGTTACTATGTGCTTATTGCACTCCAGTTTTCATTACCTATATAGAAGAGCTTCTTCAAAGCAGGCCTCAGCAACCCCAAGGTTTCCACAGGGATTTACTACTCCATAAAATACAGAGCCATCCCTGATCCTGGCCAAGTTGAAAGAGTTAAGGGTGATAAAAAAAGGTTTTATTAAACAAAATTATTTTTGAGATTTTTCTCTAACCTTTTGTTCCCTGTTTCATACATTAATACTCATCCTTTTGTTTCTAAATGGAGACAGCTCTTGTTCCTTACTACTCCATATGAAAGACCCCAACCAGTTCTGCCTCTGGAGAGGAGTCCTTACTGAACATAGGATGCCTACAGAACAATGGCAAGGTGCTTGTGTGGCATTCATCGTGATTGTGATCCTAACAATCTTTTCCCTACTTGACCAGGAGACCTACTGGCTCTGCCAAGGAGTGATTGCATAGCAGCTGAACAGCTGTGCCTCTCAGACTCTACCTGCAATGCCACCTACAGGATCCTGGAAAACTGTGCCCTGGCAAAGACTCGCTTCCTTCCACTGGATCATGATAGCAGGGTCAGATGTCTGAATGCAGAGCTAGACCTCGGAAACAGCTCTTTGCTGCACTGCAAATGTCACCGGCGCATGAAGAGACAGGAACACTGCTTACGTGTTTTCTGGACCGTTCACTCCAGCGTGACAGATGGTGAGATGAAATAATATGAATTTACAGAGTACTAGTAAGGCTCACCCCTCACCCCCATCTGAAAACAACTGTGAAAGGCCACTTCCCAACACTGCAGGTATCACTTTGGAACCACATCTCCTAGTGAAGAGAATTCATTACTGCTCTGTTTGATAAGCAGAGAAAACTGATCTGGTCTGGGACTGGCCCTTCAGATACACCAGGGACCCTAAGAGACAAAGGTAGCTACTCTGAGGCAGTTAGATTTAGTGCTGTGAGGGGAGACTGCTGTGAAAATCACCTCAAAATGGTGACATCCATCCATCACTGAAAACGGATGTGTGATTATGACACACACTGTAACGGCATCCCTGAGCATGCGGCTTCTTTCCAGCTTTAGTGAGATGCTTCTACTTGGCCTCCCACTAAAGACGTCCTGTGTTGCACATCTCCTCTCTAGTACTGAGGCTGAAAAAAAGCAAATGACAACATAGACCAAATTCCAGCCAGAGGAAATCTGATGACAAGATGTAATGCTGTTTTTACACAGTAATACCTTTGCATCTCCAGCAGAACCATTCTTGGCATTTGGTTTTAAGCAAGACAGAACATCTCTGAACTCCAGCCTGAGGAAACAGCCAGGCACAAATAAGAAAAAAAAAATCCATTAAAAAAAAAAAAAGAAGCTGGTCACAGAGCATTTCTCCCACTGCATAAAATATCTTGTATCTTGCCTAGGTTATTTCAATTTGGAGACTTCTCCCTATGAGAATCCAGCAAATGAAGAACACTGGAAGACAGATTACAATAAACTGGCAGCTCTGTTATCAGGTAAGGATTGTAATGGTTATATGATATAACGCTGCCCTTTCTTATCTTTTCAGGGGCTGAAAATTATTAAGGAGAACAATTTGGGGTAGCGGCCCCTTTAATCAGAGGAACGCCTGCTCTGGATACTTGCCTAAATTTGTCCCCCCTACCAAGTGTAAATATAGTCACAGATCCAGGCCCATGAAACAGGGAATAACCCACAATGGTGCATTCTCTGAAACAAACACTCTAACATGAACCAATAAAAAATACGATTTTCTAACTAGTATAACTGCAGTGTCATACTACAGGCACATAGCAGGACTAATTTGCTTTGTTCTTTTTGACGTTCCCAATCTGACCATCAAGTAAGGGCTACCCATATTTCCACACAGAATCTCTTCTGGACACTTGCTTCATTGTTTCTGGGTCTCTTTTGGTTTTATAGGCTCACAGTTAGCAGGAGATGCAACAAATCCATGCCTGAAAGCAACTCATGTCTGTAATCTGAGCAAGAAGTGTGTTCGTCTGCGCACAGACTACGCCTCTATCTGCACCAAGGGAGCAGGAAGTGAGGACATGTGTGACCGTCGCAAATGCCACAGAGGGCTAAGGAATTTCTTTGAGAAAGTCCCTGAGGATTTCACCAAAAGGATCCTATTCTGTCCATGTCAAGATGAACTTTGTGGAGAACGCCGCCGGAAAACTATTGTTCCTGATTGTTCCTTCCAGTATAACACCAAACCCAATTGCCTCTGGCTTCTGGACTCCTGCTTAGAAGACCATATCTGCAAGTAGGTCTGGCAGCAGCAGACATTAGCCAAGAGAAGAGAACAGCGTAGACACTGATAGTCTCATTTTCCTCCCTACAGATCCCGACTGGCTGACTTCCAACAAAATTGTCAACCTGCAGACATGTCTCCAGATGGTTGCTCTCAGCACAACCATGCTGCGTGCCTGCAGGCTTACATGGGGATGATTGGTAAGTGATATCCACAGGAACATACAGGCTGGATGCTTTCAGGCCACAAACTTGCAGGCACACTCTGATGCTGGCTTCCAAGGTAAATGCAGCTCAGAGAGAGCTCTTCCATGGCATTTATTACTCTACTTTGTCCCATCCTCTGCTGTCACATCAGCAGCACTTCCCTGAGATTTCTGAACACCTGTTTGCATCATCAGCCGGTACAAAGTGCTCTAAATGCCTGACCAACAGGGCTCTCTGGGCCTGTATGAGCTATGTCATTCCTGTTGCAGGATTTACATCCCATCACAGCAGTGATTAAACATGACGTTCCCTCACTGGCTAACTTTTAGACTCCTGATGGCTTGTTAGTGTTGTATACACTATCTTCTCAGAGCCAGCCAGAACATGGCACTACCAGTTGTTAGAATGAAGGTTATTTTTGATTTTAGGCATTCACTGCCAACCTGCTAATACTTTTTCAGAGTGGCTCAAAAGAGGAGCTGTAAAGAGCAGCAATATCTCAGAAGCTGTAAATCTAGACTATACTTTCTGGTTTTCCAGCCGTCTTTGCTGTTTTTGTGCTAAATGAACTCTGGCTGAATGGCACACTACAGGTGTGCAGCATTCATTTGGCAAAAGGCATTTGGTCACACAGTGTTGCCAGCTACATAAGAAGTAAGAGTGCCTTTTGCTGCCATATGCCAGTACTGCAGCTGAGTCCCTGCAGATTCTTCACATCCTTAATCTAATGCTTGCACCAGCTTCAGTTATCAGTATACTTCACCATCAGATTGCCTGAGTCAGGGGTAGCAATCTCCACACTTTCTCACAGCCCAGCAGACTTCACGTAGATTCACCAGGCCTGGATCACCTTGCAAGGGCTCCTGACCTCTCCTGGGTAACATGCATATCGCAATGGAAGGCTTCTGCCTCCAGGGCAGTGTATCCTTTAGTGTAACAGGACTCATGATGCTTCTTTCATTTGGTGAAGTAAATCCTGATTCCAGTTTCTGGGGATTTGGGACAGGCACGCCCATGACACCCAACTATGTCAGTAACTCCAGTGTGGAGGTGTCTCTGTGGTGTACATGTGAGAGCAGCGGCAACCAGAAGGAGAAGTGTGACCAGATACTCGGCATGTTTGAGAGCAACAAATGCCTTGGTAAGCATCAATCATATCACAGAATCAGAGAAACAGCTCAGCACAGGGAAATTCAAATCCTGTTGATTTCAAGATCCTACGTTGCATTGCTCTTGCGTATAGTTCTGTCTTCTTCTGCAGTTGTCTCCATGATCTCCTATCCAACCTATGGGACCAGCCTGGATCTGCTCTCAGAAGTGTTTCTATATCTTTTGGCAACACTTCTGTTCATCTCAAACACCATGAAGCTATTTCCAAACAGCATTCAAATGAAGGGGTTGCAAAAAAAAAAAAAAAAAAAAAAAATCACCATGGGAGGTCAGACATGCTGTATCCATAGGCTGCTGAGTAACCACATCAGTGCACCAGGATTATGGGGTTTGAGTTTCCTTCCCCACCTCCTTTCCTATGCTCGCCTTTGGCCCTCACTTCCTTGGTCAAGATAAGCAGCTCCTGACACAGCCCCTCTTATTAGATTCAGCAGCATAGCAATTACAAAAATCCTGTTACATGCAACTATGTAATCCTAAGTCTGTATTTCTTTTATCTCCCTAGCATTTTGGCAACAGACCTTAGTAAGATTTAAATATTTTATGTTTGTAAAAGCTTCCAAAGGATATAAAAGAAACCAACATCATTAGATAAATGATTAATATTTAAACCTACCTCCTGCTGTATAGAAAAGCCTTACACCCAGCACTATAGATACACCTACAACCTAAACATCTCATCTGAGATACTGCATATCTGCCCCTTACAAAATAGACAGCTGGGAAAGTCCCAGAGGGACCCAAAGGTCCTCAAATACAGTGCAAATTGGCTTTGCAGTCTGCTCAACCTCACAAGTAAACCCACAAACTAACAGGCCATTCACTGAACAGAGAATATGTATTTTCTAAAGCAAAGCCACACAGCCTGTGAGTGCACTTCCTAAAATAGCTTCCTTAGCCTTCTGTTCACTAGACTCCAAGGTGTGCACAAGAAAAGCACAATAAGACTCTTGCTTTACTTCTGTTTGCAGAAAATACCATTTGGTCTCAAATGCACCCGAAGCAGACAGCTCTAGAAAGACAGGAAGACTTATTTTATTCATCTTCCCTAAGCTTCCAAGGAGACAGTGCCAGCACATCTCTTGCTTCAGAAATGTCCCAGGTATGCATTGCTTTGTTGCCTTCACAAAGCAGTGAGTCAAGTCGTCTAGAGACAGTGGTTGAAAAACCTTGGATCTGGAATTGTGTGATTTTGGACATGAAAGCAAGGGATGCCACATGCATGCAGAACCCTGGACCACTTTACCTTGAACTATTCCTTCCACAGACAAGCAAAATAGGAGGCCTGGCCACAGGAGTTTCCTATAGTCTCACATTAGTGCTCAGAACTGGAGGCTCTGCAGCCAGACATTTGAGCATGAATGTGTCTAACTGGGATTCATTCCTCCTTTTCATTTCCTAGGTGGCTGAAGGGAAGACACAGCGAGACATCTCCGAACACAGTAGTATGCCTATGGCCTCTGCTGTATATTCTGGAGCTGCTATTTCTTGGCCGTCTCTGGCTCTGTTCCTGCCCCTGTTGCTGAGCCCATGTTAGCTTGGCATAAATGGTATCTTTCCTTCCCATATTATTAATCTTATTCCATATCCAGGCACCTCCCACTACTGATTTAGCTTTGGGAAACAGAAGGCTTCCAGAAAAGAGGAATGGAACAGCCTTAACCCAGAATGGCAGTCATTGAAAACCTCCCCCCAACTTGCACCCCACTTTCCCCAATCAGTTTGCCCTGAGCTCTGCAGATATGGTGCCCACCATTGCTTCTGCCATGTTAGCATTTTGAGTAACAGTCAGGCTAATATTCCACAATATTTTAAAACAAAGGTCTGAGTTCTGTCAGAACTTGTGCAGGGTTTGGTTTCTGACTGCAGGGAGGGACCTGACACAGCGTGTCCTACCACCCCACCTTCTGGAGCTCTTACTCAGGCATACAATCATAGAACCATTTGGGTTGGAAAGCACCTTTAAAGATCATCTAGTCCAACCCGTCTACTATGGGCAGGGACATCTTTCACTAGATCAGGTTGCTCAAAGCTCCATCCCACCTGGCCTTGAGCACTTCCAGGAAGGGGGCATCCACAATTTCTCTGGGCAACCTGTTCCAGTATCTCACTACGCTCATGATAAAAAATTTCTTTCCTATGTCCAATCTAAACCCACCCTCTTTCAGTTTAAATCCGTTGCCCCCTGTCCTGTCACTACAGGCCTTGGTAAAAAGTCTCCCAGCACCCCAGAGCTGGACGCAGGACTCCAAGTAGGGTAGAGTAGAGGGGGGGGAATCAGCTCTCTTGACCTGCTGGCCACGCTTCTTTTTATGCAGCCCAGGATACGATACAGCTCTCTGGGCTGCAAGTGCACATTACTGGCTCATGTCCAATTTTTCATCCGCCAGTATCCCTAAGTCCTTTTCTGCAGGGCTGCGCTCGATCCATTCATCCCCCAGTCTGTATTGATATTAGGGATTGTCTTAACCCAGGTGTAGGACCTTGCACTTGGCCTTGTTGAACTACATGAGGTTCACGTGGGTCCACTCCTCAAGCCTGTCAAGGCACAGAGTACAGCATACCATCCTAAAGACTAGAAGTCCACGCTCCAGAGTGGGTTGCAAGTAAAGCTCAATAAACATACACATGAAGCCCTTGGTAAACACCAGTTCTGGATTATTTTCAGTTCCCTTTTCAAATCCATTCTTTTAAGTATATGAAAAATACCACCTTTTAAGTATATGAAAAATACCACCTTTTAAGTATATGAAAAATACCACCTTTTAAGTATATGAAAAATACCACCCTAGATCAAGGACACTATACTACAGTTTATATTCTTGCTCCTTTCTGTTTTGCCCCTTGCAACATATATATATCATCCATTATCACAGCTAGCAACAGACTTGGGTTTCGTGGGTTAAGATGGATTTCTGTGCTTAACCCCAGTAAATTTAGTCTTATCTAGCAAAGGATGACCTTGCCTGGCCTCAAGACGAACCTTCTTAATAATGCTTAGAGAATGCATATAGCTCATTGAAGTTGTATTGACGACAAAACCCTGGGACATTCAGTTGCAAAAATCTCTGGGAGCTGCAACTACCTTGTACCTCTCCACATATTCCAGTTGTCATTGTCCCCTTCCACGCTGCCTGCCCAATCTCCTCCTCCTCTGCAGAGGTCTATTTCATGACCTGTTTATTCTGAGTGTAAACGTGTGCACTGTGTAACTGCTGTTATTTTGTACTGCATTTGGCTGTTAAAATGTGGTGTTAAGTGAATATTGATTTCTGAGCATAGGTTAATAGTCCACAATCAATTATGTGCAAGAGTTGCCTCATCAGCCAGCCTAAGCTTTCAGGATAGCTAGAAACTCAGCTTAAAGCAGCTCCTCCATGCACACATATAGTGCCCCTTGCTCATCCTATGAGATGCAACAGATCTGAACAATATTATACACAGCCAAACAATATTACAGTCCTGAATAGATGCAGAACAGGTGGGTATTTCTTTTTACCCTGTGCTTTATCTGTTGCCAGGGAAGCACCAGCTCGGTAATGTGCTGTGGTTCCCAGTCACTGTCAGACACCTTCTTATTACAGAATCTTACATTGTCACGTGTATCAGAGTAATTGTCCTTCTGCAGTGGTAATAGTTCCATTTCAAATTCCAGCCTTCTCTTTACTTCCTGGGCAGGTAGGGCAAGGAAATCACTGCATGGAGCAGAACCATCGCCTCTGTTGCACAGAGAAGCAACATCTTATTTCCATGCAGTAGGAACAAATATCATGTCTTTTTAGTAAAGAAGAGTACAAATGCTGGTATTTCCAATTACCTACTGAAATATGGCTATTTGGAATAAGACACAGCACTGTTTCCACATGTTTGCTATCATTCTTTAATGAAAACAGAGTCCATGTTACCATATTCTAATATCTACATTAGACCATCCTCCACGTGGCGGGACTAGAAACGTGTCAAGACTCTTGACTGTAGTGTAATACAGTCTGTCATCTCCAGAATTTAGTGGAGAGTGACAGGGAAGAAGAAAATGTTGTTCTTTCCAATATTCCACAAATCAGTGAGATATTTGTGAGAATCATGGAGTAGATTTCCCTGAGCCGTCTGTACCACACACACAGTGTACTACATTCATCTTCCACTCATCTGCACCGTGATCTTTCCTCTTTCCCGACTTTAGTGCTCTAAGACAGGTTGATATGGAAAAAGGTATTAGCATTTTGTTGTTCATATTCAGGGCACTGTGGACCATTAGCCCCTTACCCCTACTAAGAAGGTTATTGATTGCAATTGCAGCCTCCTGTCATGTTCTGGATTACATAGGAAAATGCTTGACACTCAGACAAATCCTGCTGTAGACTGAAATTAAAGCAAAACATGTCAGTTTGGGTTTTTCTCCAAGTGTCCTATATCCCTTTTGCATGTACATATGCACCTTTATATACACGGCTGCCTCTTAGGCTTGTTCATCAATAACTGCAAACAAAATTCACCTCTAAATACACCTGCATTCACAGGTACTCACACTGCTATGAGTACAAACCCATTTTCACTTAGACTTTTGTAACACCTGAGCTCCAAATATCACAGTTATTCAACTACACAGCATACAAGCATACAAGTATAACTACTACTAGAACTGTCATGCCAATATCAGTATCAGTTCAGTTAGCATCACCGATGTTCAAAGACTGGCACAGTTAACCTAAACCCCTTCAGAACAGTTCTTACTAACCATACTACAGGGCAATTTACAAAAACCCCTCAGCTTCTATTCCCCAGAAACTGGAATACAACATCCCGTAAGTACCTTTAGTCTAAATACAAAAATAATCTAATAAAAATTCTCTATCCCGACAGTCTTAACATCAAGCTCTCAGCAAGCATATACAAGGAGGAAACTTTCCAACTGTTGTAATGTAGATTATTTTTAAAGTGTAAAATAATGCCAAATCTCACTAATAAAATTTATCTTGCAACTCTAGATGTCTCCTGCCTTCCTTCACATTTAATAGAAGCTACGCTCCTTGTCTCCCACTGCTAGAGGCATTATGGGAAAGAAATTTAAAGAACGGAGTTAGACACAATCTCTTACAAAGCAATCTTAACAACTTTTACAGACATCACTCACTGTCAGGTACTTCAGACACGGCTTCTAGAACTCTGACATAGCTTTAGATACCTTCACATGGTCTAACATAGCATTTACAAAGGGCATTCGTATAGTCTTTCTCCAGCAGTGAGCTTAGTTACTGTGTTAGATAAGTTGTTTCACGTGCGACAAGTGGGAAAAGCAATACACATTTCTTGCCCGAGGTCATAAACAAGATGATGCCAGAGATAAGCCTTGAATTTGGAAGTCCAAAATTATTGTGTCCTTGCCTCATTAAAATCATTCCCACTGCTTCCAAAACTGCATATGTTTCAGTAAGAATCAAGTGACTGCAGTTTTCCTTTTAAAGGGGGGCACAATATGTATCACAGATGAGGAAAAGATACACTTTACTTCAAACAGAAATTCCTGGCTACAGCTCCCTGGCATGCCTCTTAACATCTGCTGACAATAAAAGGTAACTGAGTCTACAACACTACAGGTTTGGCACCTATAAAGAATTAAAGTATCTTTTTCAATACATCCTAAAAATCACAAGTCACTCTATTTGCTAAAACAGTGGGCAACTTTACACGAGAACAAGAAGGAAAACTTTCAAAGTAATCTTTGAGGTGTCCATGAACCAGACAAAGCTTTTGGGGACAACAGTGGAGAAGCGGGAAGCCAACCAGCACCACTGAGCTCAACAGGATCGTTCAGCACCCCTACGGAATCAAAACCAGCCGCTATTCTACAGTTGCTTCCCCCATCGAAACAGATACTGGTAAATACAATCAGAGGCTAATCACTTCTACCTCAGGGATTTTGTGGCTGAACCTTTTTTCAGATGAGGGTGGGTCGGTTGAGGCTGAGCTTGGTTTAGTCTCTAATGGAAGCTCTTCTTATAGGTGATTAGCTCTCCTCCAGGAAGTGACTTGGTGTTTGGGTTTCTTGCAAACCCCAGGGTTAGCAGAGGTCAGGGGATGCAGCACTCTCTCCAAGTGCCTTCATGAAAATAGCCCCACATACTTTCCATTTACAGCTGATCACCTCCATTATCCCCAGGCTAGGAGGAGATGATCAGCAATTGTTAAGTGCTTGAATCAGACTAATAGCTCACTGCTAATTCCCCCAGTAATGTGAATCTAAATTCCTGGTAAACAAACTGACTGCTTTTCACACACAGGGATGAATGCCAAAAGCCTAATATTAGAGCTCTGGAGCTAAAGCTTTTAGAGCAATCCTGTCCACTCAAAGATGTTTAATGACATTATATTATGTACTAAATAATTAGAAAATGAAGGCCCACTTGGAATCAATGGGTTACTGTCTAATTAAGATGAAAAAGGGGCTCTACCCTGTTTTAAACAAGTTTATACTAAAATGGTGTACCTGATAAATGGCGCTGATAACTATGTCTTTACCTTTGGGCAGAACAAGGCAGCCATTAAGCTAGCACAAAATAATTGTGTGATTTTTGGCTCACCTTTCTTCTTATTGGTCCCACCTGTTTTCC